ATATATATATATATATATATATATATATATATATATATATATATATATTTGATTAATCTTTTAACATTTACACTTACAAAAAGGACAGGAAAATAGTTATTTTCATTTTTTTTCCATTTCTTTGAAGTAATAACAATCAGAATCACTAATAATACACCAATATTACCCGTACTTTATGGTAAAAGTGTGAAATTTAAAAAAGGAATGTTCTGACTCATGCTCAATTTAGGCATCACAAACCTAAACTTAATTGTAGAGCTAGTTTTATTAACTGCAGTTGCTCAGTGACTGACTGTAATCAGTGGAAAATGTGCTCTACCAAATGGTTGAGGAGAATGTTAAAGGATTAGAATAGTTTTTGTTGTTGTTGTTTGTTGTCTGATGTAATAAATATAAAATGGAAAATTATGGCAATGTCTACTGACAATAGAGCCCCAGTGAAGCAAACATATTTTAAAAAGTATCGGCCCAAGCACATAACCCTGTGGAACTCCATTCTGAACTTTATTATCAACAGTCTTGATTGACAAAAAACATGGGACTTAAATCCAAAAGATTAAGTTCTTTTTATCCCAATGACATTCCACTCTCTGCCTCTGAGTTTTCTGATCAAAGACAGCACTGAGAACCAACAGGACAGGATGTACATCTAAAGTTTGGAGTTTGAGGGAGATAACAAAAAATTCTTTACACCATTATCCATGTACAGTGGTCTGCAAAAGTTTGGGCAACCTTGTTAATTTCCATGATTTTCCTTCATATATCGTTGGTTCTTAGGATAAAAAAAATCAGTTAAATATATGATATAGGAGACAAACACAGTGATATTTGAGAAGTGAAACGAAGTTTATACCATTTACAGGAAGTGTGCAATAATTGTTTAAACAAAATTAGGCATGTGCATAAATTTGGGCACCACAATAAAAAAAAAAACTTAATATTTAATAGATCCCCCTTTTGCAGAAATAACAGCTTCTAAACGCTTCCTATGGCTTCCTATGAGAGTCTGGATTCTGGTTGGAAGTATTTTGGACCATTCCTCTTTACAAAACACCTCTAATTCATTCAGGTTTGATGGTTTCAGAGGATGGACAATATTCAGGTCTGGGGACTGAGATGGCCATTCCAGAACGTTGTACTTGTTCCTCTGCATGAATGCCTTAGTAGATTTTGAGCAGTGTTTAGGGTCATTGTCCTGTTGAAAGATCCAGCCCCGGCGCAGCTTCAGCCTTGTCACTGATTCCTGGACATTGGTCTCCAGAATCGGCTGATATTTGGTGGAATCCTTGCCTTCCTCAACTTTACCAAGATTCCCAGTCCCTGCACTGGCCACACAGGCCCACAGCAGGATGGAACCACCACCAAATTTTACTGTAGGCAGCAGGTGTTTTTCTAGGAATGCTGTGTTGTTTTTCCTCCATGCATGACGCCCCTTGTTATGTCCAAATAACTCAATTTTAGTTTCATCAGTCCACAGCACCTTATTCCAACTTGTCCAAATGTGCTTTAGCATACCTCAGGCGGCTTTGTTTGTGATGTGGGCGGAGAAAAGGCTTCCTCCGCATCACTCTTGCATACAGCATCTCCTTGTGTAAAGTGCGCCCAATAGTTGTACGATGCACAATGACTCCATCTGCAGCAAGATCATGTTGTATGTCTTTGGTGCTGGCCTGTGGGTTGACTTTGACTGTTCTAACCATTCTTCGCTTCTGTTTATGCGTGATTTTCCTTGGTCTGCCACTTTGAGCCTTAACTTGAACTGTACCTGTGGTCTTCCATTTCCTGACTATGTTCCTAACTGTTAAAACAGACAACTGATATCTCTTGGACAGCTTTCGGTATCTTTCCCCTAATTCATGATGGTGAACAATCGTTGTTTTCAGGTCATGTGACAGTTCTTTTGAGACTCCCATGTCGCTACTCTTCAGAGAAGGTTCACAGAGGAGGGAAACTTACAATTGCCCCCCCTTAAATACTCTCTCATAATTGGGTTCGCCTTGTGTATGTAGGTCAAGGGTCACTGAGCTTCCCAAACCAATTTTGAGTTCCAATAATTGGTTCTAAAGATTTTGAAATCAGTAAAATGACAACAGTGCCCAAATTTATGCACATGCCTAATTTTGTTAAAACAATTATTGCACACTTCCTGTAAATGGTATGAACTTCATTTCACTTCTCAAATATCACTGTGTTTGTCTCCTATATCATATATTGAACAGATTTTTTTATCCAAAGAACCAATGATTTATGAAGGAAAATCATTGAAATTAACAAGGTTACCCAAACTTTTGCAGACCACTGTATGTGTGTATTTGTGTATGTATATGTATATATATATGCATATGTATGTCTATATATATATATGTACATGGATGTCTATAGGTATGTATGTATGTATGTATGTATGTATGTATGTATGTATGTATGTA